GTCTCCTTCAACACCATAACACAAATGCATCAATTCTTCTGAGGTCTTCCTTATTCATTGTCCAAATTTGAAATCCATAGGAAGCTATTGAAAATACCATGGCTCAGGTCACCTTAGTCCTCATACTGACATGTTTGCTCTTGAACACTTCAAATAAGTCTTATACAGAAGATGAGCCCAATGCCATTTTATTTCTTGACTGCTACTTCCATGAATGTTGATGGTTGATCCACGCAAAATGAAGTCTTTGACAACTTCAATCTTTTCTTTGTTTATCTTAATGTTATTTATTGGTCCAGTGGTGAGGACTTTTGGATTCTTTACACTGATGTACAAAGACCACATACCAAAGGCTGTGGTGTTTGAGCTTCATCAGTAAATATTTTAAGTTCTCTTGGCTTTCAGCAAGCAGGGTTGCATCATCTGCATATTGTTGTTGTTGTTAAGTGCCATCTAGTCGGGTCCGACCCATAGCAACCCTGTACAGGGTTTCCGAGGGTGTAAATCTTTACGGGAGTAGAAAGCCTCATCTTTCTCCCGCGGAGCGGCTGGTAGTTTCGAACCGCTGACCTTAAGGTTCGCAGCCCGATTCGTAACCACTACGCTACCAGAGCATCTGCATATTACAAACTCTTAATACGTTTTCCTCCAATCCTGATGCCATGCGGTTCTTTGTAGGGACTCAGGAATAGAGGAAGAGGCATTAATAAGCCAGAGCCCCCGGCAAAAGTTGATTTGGCGGCCCCTCCAGCAAAAGTCAAAGGGGTTTACCTGGCCTCAGTACTGGAAACTGTACGTGCTGGACACGACAGGCACAGCCTGGATAAGATCAGCCTCTTAGTCTTCCAGGAAGCAGTAAAACAACTTCTTGGAAGATTTAGCATGTTCCTCTAACTCCACTCCCAGGCAGAAATAATTCTCTCCCACTTTTGCATACTCTCCCTGCTCTCGCGTACTTGCTTCAACAAATTCCCCTGTGAACCTTGGTCGTGGGCACTGCCATGGCTCTCATCTAGAGGTGCTGTTGGGCAGTGACCTCCCTTAGGTCCCTCGGTGCATTGTATCTGGACTTCGTTCGAGTAGTCATTGTCTCAGTGAGTAGTCATTGCCTCCGCGACAGCTGTTCAAGTAATCCAGTTTCTCCAATTATTAGCTCAGCATACAGATTGCGTGAAAGAATACAACCAAAGCACACACCTTTCCTAATTTTAAACTAGTCAGTGTTGCCTTGGTCTATGTAGTGATTCCTCATGAGTACAGTTAAAGTCTTCTGGAATTCTCCTTCTCTGAAATGTCTGAGAAAAAGCATGGAGCTGTTGTAACATAAGTTTCCATTTCCCAAGCTCTTGAGCTGTAACATAAATTTCCATTTCCCACACTCATAGGCTGTTAAGTTTCAAGTTCCCCCCAAAAAAGGCAATCACCCTATCCACCCTAGCACCGCCCTCTCAACACTGCTCAGCAACCTATCTAAGACAACCTCATCCTCCCCCCCACACACATTTTTTTACCCACTGGTTATGAATCGGGCTGCTAATCTTACAGTCAGCAGTTGGAAACTACCAGCAGTTCCGCAGGATAAAGATGAGGCTTTCTGCTCCGGTAAAGATTTACAGCCTCGGAAACCGTATGCAGGGTCAACTACAACAATCCCTAGCCAGGAGTCCGGGTGTGGCACTGTGGGCTAATGGGTCAGACTGCAAAGCTGTTTGAACTGCAAGGTCGGTGGTTCAAGCTCACCAGCTGCTCCTTGGAAACCCTATACAGGGTCGCTATGAGTCGGAATCGATTTGATTGCACTTAACAACAACAACAACATCCCTAGCCAGTACCGGAAGAGGGCCTTTTGACTCAGGTCAGGGCCCCCTCCCAGATCTATCCAATAAACCAGCCCTTGCTGTTGCTCTCTCTTTCTGCCTCCTTTAATAACCATTTTAGCCTTTACTCTGACATTGTCCATAGCTTGTAATGATCTACACAATCAGAAGCCTTTGTGAAGTCAATAAAGCACAAGTAAACATCTTTCTTGGAGTTCTCTACTTTCAGCCAAGATCCATCAGACTCCCTCCCTAGGTATGTCCCAGACTTGTCTTAAGCATTGGACACATTGCTGGTGTAACTGTCAGAAACTCATATGGAGTTGTCAAACTTGAGTTAAAACTCAAATTGGGAGTTAAAGTTCCCACTGTAAAGTACACCCTTTCACAAAACAAGTGCTTTCGAATTTTAGCCTTAATATACAGGTATAGACTGAATTTTTAAAATGTGCTGAAATCCTGCCAGATCTCTTGCCTTCCTTGCGTAACTTCTAGATTTCACAAGTTAACCTTCGGCATCAGACCCAAACGACCAGATAGCAGCAGCATGAAAATTATCATATTTGGAAAAAATTGTTGTGATGTCCAAAAGGCGATAAGAGAAGGAGAATCAGGCGACAGGATCACTTTTAACTGTCACACGCCTTTTAATTTTTTAATAATCTTTGTAACTGCTGCAAGTGAAACTGTTAAGACCAAAGCGAAAGTAAGCGCCACTGACCAGAGCTAAGATGGTACAGTTGGCTTCACTGCCCACACCCAAAATGGATCCTCACTATGACGTTTCCCACAAATATCCTCCGCTAGCCCCACCCATCAGCCCGCGCCGCCGTCAGAATCTTGCTCGTGATTGGTTGTCCATGCCTTTTATCGCCTCTCCGGATGTTGCGTCATTCTGCGAGCTGGAAGAACTGCGCGTGCGGGCTCCAAGGAAGTGAAGGCAGGGCGAAGGGCCAGAGAGGTGGGCGTTTGTGGGGTTTTATTTTACCGGCCCGGAAGGGGAACTGCGCGGTAGAGGTGTCTAGGAGCTGAGGTACTGTCTCCCGGGTCGACTGAGACCCGGGGTTGCTCCAATCTTAATTGAAGGCCTAGTGGGGCCGCAGGGTGAGGCTGGGGAGGAGTGGAGGCGGTGGCGCTGCTGACTGCGTCACGGCGACTCCGCGTCTCGGGCTCCGTCCTGTGGGTGACCCGGCGGAAAGCTCTCGTCTTCGCCTGCCTCTTCCCACGGCAGCGCAGTGTTAAGTCATTCCGCTCGCCCGAGCGACATAGCCTCTCCCTGACAGATAAGCAGGGCGACCAGAGAGGTGTGTTGTATGTAGTTTCGTGTTGACGTTAGGAAATTGGAGACTCGATGCCGGGTTCGCGTCCCAATCTAGCGGTTTCGTGATCGGGAGACAGCGCATGTGCGCATCAATGCTCGTGGCTCTGAACTGGGTCCAGTAGCTTTTCCATTTTTTATATGTATGTGTTTGTTGCTTAGGAGCCCTGGTAGTGTGGGTAGAGCTGGGCTGCTTACAGCAAGGTCAGGAGTTCGAATCTACTAGCCTATCCGCCCAGGAAAATAGGAGGGTTTCTGCTCGCTTAACGATTTACAGTCTTGGGAAGCCGTAAGATGAGTCGGAGCCGGCTCAGTGGCACAAACCCTCCCCACCACCACCACCATATACGGTGGTCATCCGAGTCTCCAGGAGGTCTAATGCCCACCCAAGGCCACTGCTAGCCATTAAGTGACTGAAGTCGGGTTTCCACGGTGGCCTGTTAAGTGATTGAGTACAGGCTACTCAAGTCAGCGAGGACTGGCAGAGATACTGGAGAGTATGCTAAGATGATGCCATGGAATGAAAGTGCCAAAGGGCATAGTGTGTTCCCAGATGGCAAGTGCCCAGGGGTGTACAAATCTTCAGAGATCAGTGGAAGAGCTGGAAGGGCGCTCAGATCTTGTAAAGCAAAGGTTCTTAGCCTTTAGGGTATTCATTAAAGTACGCGTTCATCGGCCCCATTTCATTAGAAGTGAGGATTTTTATATTTTAAAGATAACAGCCCAAGTATTTGTGCAAAGCAAGTAGGCCAAAGGTCGGCATTGTTAAAGGTGGAGGAAACAAGGCCCAGAAACCTAGTCACATGGCTATGATTCACACAGATTATTGGCAGAGATGGGCATGGAGCCCAAGGTGCCTGACTCCTACTTCATCTTAGCATTACTGGGAGATATTTATCTGATTCTGGTTGACAAGGCATTGATATAATATGCCCTGAAGCTAAACTAATCCAGTTTTTAGCATGCTCTCCTTTGGGGGATACCACTGGAGAAGCCTCACTTGGGAACTTGGTATGGCGCTTGCTTTGAAAGATAGAATGCCCTTTATTTGGCCATAGAAAGCACTGGCAATGCAGTATTAAGCACTGGGTTGTTAGCTAAAATGTCAAGGGTTCAAACTCACCAGTCATTGCACAAGAGAAAAGATGGTAGTCTGCTCCCTCAGATTACAACCAAGGGAGCCATGGGGGGCAGCGCTGCTCACTTTATAGTGTCATTGAATTGGAATCCTCTCTCCGGCTCACACCATAATAGGTTCATTTACTTTGATTATTTTTATATTTTAACCTGGAGGAAAGTGATATTTCTCACATGTTGTCACTGATTCAAACCCAACAGCCTTTCCTCAAAAACCCGCTATGGGTTGGAACTGACTTGGCAACAACTGAAATTTGGAATGTTTGGTTTCTGGTGTTCTCTTAGTTTTGTAATGTATGACCTTGAAGCAGTACTCATCATTGACCTGGGATGACATACTTCATCTGTTGAAAAGATACACAGATTCTTCCTTTAAATCTTCCCACAGAATGCTGTTATAAATCTTATGCCAGAGCTATCACACCTTGTAATCCTGTTAAGGTACTAATACTCATGTTGTGTTAGACCTGTAACATATGCAGAGTCATGCATCATGCAATTAGATAAACTTAAACTTTGTGACTTCATTCCAAACTGAGTTCTGTGGAATGGGTTTGTTGATTACAAGAACAGGCAGAAGATTCATCACTGAAATTTTTAAAGGCTCTCATTTATCTTTCCTACTAAAGATAGCTCGTTCTGCCTCTGTCTTCTGTGTCTTTCCCTCACGTAGTTAATTCTTCTGTGGGTTTTAATTTGTTGTTTTTTTTGTCTGTGTTTCTAACTAGCATTTCAGATCTGCTCAGGAGACCTGGTGTACCACCATGCTGGCCGCAAGGTTTGTGTGTCTCCGGATTCTTCCTTCCAGAGCTTTCCACCCAACTTTCACCAAGCCCTCTCCTCTCCTAAAGAATTCCATCACAAAGAATCAGTGGCTTCTAACACCTAACAGGGTAAAGATAACTATGAATGTTTTTATGTTGTCTATCTTTATCCCTTTGGGCCATTTTTAGGGCAGAGATTGAAACTTAGCACTTTCAATAATTTATTGAAATAATTTGTTCTGATAATGTCCCAAACCAGCTTTCTCCCAATTAGTCTATCCTTATCACATAGACAAGGGTAAATCACAAAAGTATTGCTACAAAATCACAGAAATCTTCATTAAACAAAAATCAAAATGTGAAGCTAGTGTCTCTCGACATAGATGTGTCTAGATCTATACACTTTGGAAGGTAGTATTTCCATGTCTTGAAAAAGTCAGTTTGGATCACAAAGTCAGCAGTTCAAGTTCACCAGCCTCACCTAGGAAACCTTGTGCAGGATTGCTATGGGTCGGAACTGACTCAAAGGCACTTAAAAACAACAACCCTTCTCAGAAGAATTCTTTGTTTTACACCACATCAAATGGCAAGTTTTGGCATCCTCAGGGGATTCAAATCGTGTTTCTTTTAAATGTTCTCTAGTATTTTGGACAAAAAGAAATCTGACAGAGCAAGATCAGGGCTGTCAGGTGGATGCAGTAAAGTTTCCTAGTGAAATTATCATAGGCCAGCCCTGACTACTCAAAAAATGGAACGGGTGCAATGTCGTGATGGAAAAGAATTCTCAGTACAACTTCCTGGCCCTTTCCTCACCGGTGCAGTAATCCATTTTCTTACAACGTCTCTGTATAGTAAGCCTCCAGGAGTGTCCTATGTCTTTTGAGAAACTCTTATGAAGGTGATCTCCTATGGCACCCCAAAAACAGTCACCGTAATCTTCTGAACTAACAGCCTTGTCTTGTCTGTAACAGACATACCCGTTCTCCTGGAGTCCTACTGTGGCACTGTAGGATAAGCACTGGACTGTTAATAACAAGGTTGGTGGTTCAAACCCACCAACTTCTCCTCAGAGACCCTGTGGGGGCTTGCTGCGAATCTGAATTGATTCTATGGCACTTAACAACAAATTAACAGCAACCGTTCCTCTAGAAACCACTGATTTGATTGCTCTCTGCCAGTGCTATTGGCTAATTTAAGAGCATCTCCAGTTGTGACTCATTCCGTAAAATTGTCTTGTATCAGCTTCACTTGTGCTTAAAAGACTGATGGAAAGAACAGCTGTTTGAGTTCGCCGATCTGTATGCAAAACTCTCAGCACCCATCCAGCCAAAAGTTTGCTGAGGCCAACATGCTCACTTAAAATGGAAAATGCTGAGCCATGTGAGATGCCAGTTGTACTAGTTCCAACTCACAACTACCCTGTATAGGGTTTCCGAAGAGCACTTGGTGTGTTTAAACTGCCAGCCTTATAATTCAAACCGAACATGTGGTCCAATGCTTATCTTACAGCACCATACCAGGAGTCCTTTTGGCTTAATGTTATGGATTGCCCTTTTTTGAGCATTTCTAACGTGACAAAGTGAAACTAATATTAAAAGTTTTTAATAGATACCGTTTGTTGTTGTTGTTGTTAGGTGCCATTGAGTCGATACTGACGCATAGCAACCTTTATGCACAGCAGAATGAAACACTGCCGTATCCTGAGCCAACCTCACTACTGTTGTCACGCTTAAGTCCATAAATGCTGCCACTTGGCCAGTTCATCTCATTGGGGGGCTTCCTCTTTTTCTCTGACCCTCCACCTTACCAAACATGATATCCATCTCCAGCGACTGGTCCCTCCTGACAATATGTCAGAAGTATGAGAGACGAAGTTTGGCCATCTTGGCCTCCAAGGAGCACTCTAGCTGCACGTCTCCTAAAACTGATCTATTGGTTCTTTTGGCAGCCCATGGAACTGTCAGTACTCTCCTTCAACACCATAACTCAAAAGCATCAATTCTTCTACAGTCTTCTTATTCACTGTCCAGCTTTCGCATGCATATGAGGTTATTGAAAATACCATGGCTTGGGT